ATCAATAACCTAGTCAAATTACAAAATTACACTAGAGTCAACAATCACTTACCTCTACAAGAATACAAAGGATGTCCAATCAACATGACAGGGAAACCAGGAGAATGCATATTCAGCAAGGAAAAAAACAGTCTCATTAGCATCCCAGTATACAAAAGTAGAACAAGCTCAAGGAACATATCAAACAATAAACTCTGTTACCGAAGCAGAATCATACCAACAAGCATTAACAACATAAGGACCGACAAATTTCAATCAACAAATCTCCCACCACAACCCCAATTCGAAAACAACCAAACCAAATTATACAAAGAAACAATTAACAAATATATAAACACAACAGAAGATGCTCTCAGTGAACTAGCAAAAATAAGACACAAATTAAATGGAACTAAAACAATAACAGTATACACAGATGGATCAATGAATATAGATCTCAGAATGGGTTTTGGCTGGCATATATCACAAATGCCCAATACTCTCTTCCAAGGTACAATTAGCAAATTCCCCTCATCAACCAGAGCAGAACTAGCAGCAATATCAACATTCCTTCTAACAATACCAGCACACAGTAAAATCATAATATGTACAGATAGTCAAGCAGCACTTAATGCAATCAACAAGATCCGAAACAATTACCACACACTGAGAGCACTCAAAAATAACAACTTAATTAACACAATTGTACATATCATAGAACAACAAAAACTTAATATACTCTTCAAAAAAGTTAAAGCCCATAAAAACAACCCTGAAAACGATAAAGCAGATCAATTAGCAAAAGACATCACCATAGGTTTCACAACACCAAACATCAGTTTCAAACCAATACTCAATAACAAAACCAAATAGATACAAGAATAGAATAGGCAAATCATGGATAATCCAATCACAGAAACAATCAAAAATCTAATTAAAATAAAACATCCTCAGCTGGAGAATGTTTAACTGGAACTTGATTGCAACAGATGAAAACACCAAAAATAATATCAGGTGGAAAGAAGCAATGATCAATAAACACCCATCAAAAATTACAGTAGGAGAAACAAACCAACATGACCACAACACCAGATTATTCAGATTCAAACTCTGGAATCTAGAACTACCATCTAAAAGCAACCTTCATAAAAAACTAGCAGAAACATATACTGATGATCAATGTATATTTTGTAAACAAACAGAAATCAACACATACGCAATGATATGCAAACAGAACCAAGATTTCTTTATGAAGCTCAAACAAATAATCAATAAAGAAGTAGGCAACAGAACAAGAGTAGGAAAAGTGGAACACAAGCTAGATAACAAAATCAAAAAACAACAACAGACATGGACCCAAGAAATCAAAGACTACATAGCAAGAGGAGCACTAACCAACAATCTAATCAATACAGTTAAAAAATACTTACAACCAGAAACACATAAAGAAACTATCAAAGCCATCCATAATTGTCTACTCAATGAACTTCAAGAAAGGTGGAAATACAGATGTACTAAATTCGCAAAATGGGAAGAAAATAACGATATAAACAAAAATGACAAAAAAAGATGGAAAAAGAACAAAAAAATACAAAAACAATACAAAACATATATCCCAGAAATAAATTCACTTCTTAAACACGCCACACAAAACTGGCTTAACTGGAATACAATCTATACTTATAAAATTCAATTTTTAGAGACAGGTAGAGTCTTGGCAAATTAGTCAAGTATATACCAATACTTGGCAATAAGCTGCACGATAGAACAAGTTTCTTAGTGAGTTTAATTAGATAGACAGAGGAGTAAATTTGTATAAAACAAATCTGTACATACTTATTCTATAAATCTAATAAACAAGGTATAAGCCACCCGTTTAAAAAAAAATTATCACATATTATTCTTTTATATTTTCTATTGTTTTTCTATTGAAATTTAATTTTTTTTATATTGTTATTGTTTAATTTCAATATTAAAACAGAATTATAAAATTAACTAAAACAATAATTTTGAATTATTTATATTAATTTGCTTAATAGTATTTGAAACAATATATATATTAATTAAATTAAATTATTGAGAATTGAAAAATATTTTTATCACTAATTTTAAAGTTTGTCAAGAGAGGAATTAAAAGTTTCAATATATTCAATTGTGAATTAATTTTTTTAAATTTTTTTATTTATTTTCCTATATAATAAATCTATTTAAAAAGTTTATTTTATATGGTTTGTTATTTTTAAATTAAGAAACTAATATGCTTAAGTTTTATTATTATAATTTTCTACTTGATTAATTATATATTAGATTTTATTTAAATTTTTATATATAAAAAAAAAATAATTTTTTTTCAAATTACTAGATTTATTGAGAATTATCTTTTATTATTACTTGTGATTGGATATTATTATTTAATTTTATTATTTTAATAAGAAACAAGAATATTTAATAAATATTTATAGTTACCAATCAGATATAATATTTTTTTTATTTAAAGTACTGGTTATTTGAGATTTTATATTTACTTTTATATAATAATAAACATTGGAAAAAGATTTTTTATTAAATTAAAATAAACCTATTTTTTGTAATTTAGAATTTGAAAACTATTAGTATTATAGGAGATGAATTTATTAAACTATTTTATTTAAAATAAATATCTATTACATCTTTTTTAATAAGTAAAAGAATATCTAATGTTATTATACTTTTGTAAAATATTATTATAATTCTGATAAGTGATTTCAATCAAATAAATATAAATATAATATATAAAGATATAAAAATACATTTCTAATTTATTTTTTAAAATAGACTTAAAATAGTTAATAAAAATTTTTTTATTTTAATATAATATTGTTAAAAATATTTTTATTTAAAGATAAATTAATTCTAAATAAAAAATTTTTTAATCAAGGTTAAACAAAAAAATCATTTTTTTGTTTATTTTAAAATTTTTGTTAAATTATCAATTCTCAAATTTAAAATCGGATTAAGCAATTAAATTAATTACATGAGTTAATAAAAAAGCAATATATATATTTTTAAAAAATGTCAAATGCATAAATATATTAAAAGCAATGAGAGTAATAACAATATCATTATTATTATAATAATTATTATATGATATTATGAGAAAATTATTATAAATTTTTAAAAAATATAAATGTCTAGATTGCAAACATAATATTCTGAATTACAAAAAAAAAAAAAAAATTGAATAATAGTGATAATAATAAAATCAACAAATCCTTTATTGTCACTGAATTAATTGTAGAATTTACCTCTTTGAAATTTTTTTGAAATTATTAAAACTATAAAATAAAAAATCATTTCTTTATTTTTACTTGAACTTAGCTAAAACCTTTCAAACGGGTTGCGATAAAGTTGAAAGTACAATTTAATAAAAAACGCGTTTCTTATATTCATAGAAAAGTGAGAGATCTCATCAAGTAGTGTTCTAAGGGACGCCGATTTATCCTCTACGTACCTTTTCTTCTCTTGTGAATAAATCGAAAACTCTACCGGATTAACCAAAAGTAAGACTTTTAAGGTCCAGCTGTTTAAAAGATACCTAACGGGGATAAAAGTATTCATTACATGGTGAACCAAAGTTAACCCGTGCTAGGCATGAATAAGTAAACGTTTTTCCGCGTACAACGAAGATTGTGATTAAGTACTTTGTGGAGAGCCATCGATCAGGTTGAAGGAACCTTGCCCCTATTTCATAATCAGCGTTTGTGATAATTAGAATAATAGCAAAAGTTTTCTTTGGGCGAAATGTGACAATCTTTAAATACAGTATATCACAGTACAGTACAGAATAGTATACAGTATGGCACTATTTTTATCACATGACTGGATCATAAACAGGGGATGTAGTAGTATATAATATAATCTCAAGCGCATTATCGTTAAACTACAGTATTTTGTCTCCCGTCAACGCATTTTTTATTACCCTTTTCTCACAACATCTCTACCAACACTCAATCCCATCTTTGCGCAATGTGTTTATACAATGTTAATTTCCATTATCAATTCCTTATTCTGCAAATAAAAGGAATACCAACACAAAAAGTACCAAATAACCATCATCTTTATAAAACATCGCTGAACCTTATCGCTTTGCGAATGTTTTCTATAACCGGCCTGGTTTGCTACAGCTATAATAATAATGTTAAAGTAACATAATAAAATTTCCACTGCCTCAACATTATGTGACTACTCACTGCTTACCACATTTTCTACTGCTACCATAAAAACTTCTCAATAACATGAGTCGTTCGATTATGCGACAAAATCAATTATCTTCCACAAATACCTTACCACACCGTCAGCACGAGTAGGAACACGTGTGTTCCATGTTTTCAACCTGAGGGTTCCGGATTTAAATCCCAATCACGCGCATTTCTCCAATTTTTTAGTTGATGTCCAGTGTCGTAAATTCACAAGAATGAGTTGCTGCAGACCATTTATGCAAACGATTAAATTTCTGGATCTATTTTATTTTGTGCAACATCGATGAACTAATTTTAAAATAAAAACAATAAATGCACAAAAAAGCTATGCACACTTATATACATATTACACCCATGTACGTATTTAATTATTTATGTAATTCTTGTACGTAATAGTTTCATATGATCATAAGTACTCAATAATAGAACTTAATAAGGGTATGATTAACCGTGTAAACAATCATAATGTTCATAATAGAGAGCGAGCGTATCACTCTTTCACAACCAATATTTATAGAATGAATGTTGTCGATTTTTTTTTTAACATTTTTTTTTCAATAAATTATTATAAAAATGTATATTATACATTTTAGACTATGTAAATTCTTAATAAAAATCATACAAGCTGGAATCAGTAACAGAACTAGGCGCAATGGTACGTGTGTAAGGTGTACCATTGTAACACTGAACAACCAGTTGGGTATTAGTTGCACACGGCGGGCGTATGATTTTTATTTGCCATATGAACAGAAATTCATCTCTTACCTTTCAGCATCATTATACATGTCCGAAGAAGAAAGGCATAAAGAAGATAATCGTATTTTCACGATTAGATCCGGAGGACAGACCGGTGTCGACAGAGCAGCCCTGGATGCTGCTCTGCTCTATAAAGATTACATACGAGTCACCGGTTGGTGTCCAAAAGGAAGACTTTCTGAAGAGGGTGAAATTCCACCACACTATCCTCTCGAAGAAACTCCGTCGGACTCGTATCCTGAAAGAACAGAGTGGAACATCCGAGATTCGGATGCTACGTTAATTCTACTTCTACAAAAAGCCCCACCTGATCGCGGAACGAGCTTTACTATTGAAAAAGCAGAAAAACTTTCCAAACATTGCAAAACTATACTACTTGATGATAAGCCGACGAACGTTATTCACGTTTTAAAATGGTTAGATGAGAAAAACGTTAAAATTCTTAATGTCGGTGGACCCCGGGAGAGTAACTGTCCGGGGATTTACGAAAAAGCTTATAAATTTATGGTATCCCTTATTCAAAAGAAATTAGAAGACATTCCTACGTACTGACATAACAATATTCGTTACTTTTGTATTGACCTTCATTATTTTACACCTACACTATTCCTAATTTACTGTACACACCCAAATATTAAATAAAATCACATGCCTCAAGTCTTGTTCGATTTAGTCACTCTTTCACCGATAATAATGATTATTAAAGAAATTTTGATATCTTAATACTTACGATATATAGAAAAACAAAATTTTTTTCTTTATTCAGAAAATGTAAAAATCAGTACATTTACGGGATTACTTCTTAAAATACAATTAAGTGTTAAAGCTTAATTAATAACGAAAGAAATTACTTATTTGATTTAACTTAGTTTTTCGTAAAACGAAAAGTTTTTTTTTTTTTTTATATATTTTAGTAGATACTATATTTACTAAATACATACTATTTTTTATCCTCAACAAAATTACTGCAGGAGTTTTAAAAGAGATACAGTAGTTTATTTAGTAAAATAAACCGAATTGGTATGATATTTCTATACTTTTTCAGATTTTTATGAACTCATCCCATGTGATCATCTACAAATTATTAATAAATTGAACCACGTACGTAGCTCGTTATTACACAAAGTTCTTCATCAAAAACACAATAGTTCTGAAATATAAATCTTCCTGATCCCTCAATCGCGGGTCGAAGTGAGGAGGTTTCCGGTCGATCTCCGCTCGGGACGCGGAAATTGACCGGAAACCCCTTCACTTTAAATAATATATTTTGACAGTAAACTATGGTCATTATACTGATGAACATTTCTTCCAGAAAATCAAATTTAAAATATTCGCCGCATGGCTATTATAATCACTTATCATAATTTTGGTGCCCTTCAATCCCGCGCGATGCTTTTTCTTTCGTGAGAGATATTTCGATTCACGTATTATTGGTGGAACATTTACATCAATAAAATAAAATTTATATTGCACATTTTGATAAGAAAGGATATTGTATTTTCTATTTAAACATGCAACAGTTAAAAGTACGTAATAAAAAAAGGGGGGCAATATTACAGTAATGTGATTTAGACTATAATTTTTCTTTTAAAATGTACATAAATTGCCAAAATCTGTCTGGGCGTAAATACTTACGCGCAAAAAATCATTTTAATGATAGTTAAAATTAAAAATTTGTTTAAAAAAAGTTTAAGATCAATATATACATATATATATATAACGTATTTTTTCATAACTTATCTGTTGATCAATTGGAATTTACAAAAATTTCTTTTTAAAATAATTATTTTAAATATTAAAATAAAATATTTTTTTAATTATTATAAAGGAAAATAAATAAAAGAGTTTAACGTAAAACAACTTTATAAATTATACAAATTCATTTCTTACATGTTATTTATTTATAAAAATTAATTTGTAAAAGATTTTTCCTGATATTTTATTTATAAACAAAATCCATAAACAAACAAATGATTATAAACATCAAAATTGATAACTTTATTATAAATAATATTCAAACAATTTATATAATATACATATGATTCAAAAAAAAAATAATAAAACAAAATAAAGATAATATAAATAATAATCAAGTATTATTTTATAATAACATATACAATATGGTGCAAATATTTTGGAATGTTATTTATATAATATAAATGCATATAACTTTTTCAAAACAAAAGCAATTCATGTGAAATTTTAAATATGTAAATAACATATTTCAAACAATATATATAGG